CCCCAAAACCCCAAAACCCCAAAACCCCAAAACCCCATTGTTTAATCTTAAATAAGGATAGGAAAATAATGAAATAGAGATGAATATATATCAATCGAAAAGAATAGCACAGTCATAGATGAAATTTCTATTAAGCTAATATAAATTAAAGTAGTTCGCTTAATTTTAAGTAATTAGGGTATCTGAATTTAGTCATATTTTCAAGGAGTTATAGATCATTCATCCTCTTCCTCTTCCTCATCTTCATCATCTTCATCTTCATCCTCGTCTTAATCTACAACCACTTCCTTCTTCTTCTTTTTCTTATCCGTTTTAGATTTCTTTGACTTCTTTTTATTATTTTTGGATTTCCTCGACTTCTTCTTTTTCTTTTTGGGCTTCTCCTATTGTACTACTTTTCCCTCTTCCTCTTCCTCTTCTTCATCTTCATCTTCATCACCATCTTCTACTTCATCAACTGCATTAGCTGCAGAAATAAGGGTAGAAACTTCTTATCCAATCTTAGTGTCTTTAAGAAGTTTATTCTAGGTGTTCTGTATTTCAGATTAAAGGAGATCCTATCCTTAGTCTTTAATATTTTGAATGTTCTAAGTCAAAGCATCTTTTCCTTAATCAACTACATCACTTATAGTAGTCTTAACTTGATCTGTAACCTATTGTTTGATTTTGTCTATGTTATTGTTAATGAAACCTTTAAGATTGAATGCAGTATTTGTTTATGATAGGCCTAGAGTTGAACCATTCTCACTATCCCTACCTTGGTGTAGAAGACCATTTAAGATCTATTAGTGAGTCTATGGGTCATAGTAATTTTATACGCTTGGGTGAATAGCAAGAGATTCAGTACCAGTTTGAGTCTTAGAAAGTAAGTTACTGGTTGTGAGACTCTTAAGCTGAACAGCCTCTACTATAGCAAAAAATGGAGCAGAAAGTAAAAGCACAGAGCTAAAGAAAGCCGTCTTCATATGTCCTATTTTAAAAGTTTTATTATATTTTCTTCTAAAGCTATTTATAATCCTTAAATTGCGCTCTAGGGGTTTTGGGGTTTTGGGGTTTTGGGG